TATACATACTGCAAGCAAACATCTTACAAGTCTACTAGACCTAGTAAGAGTTTGAAGGGGAGTGTTAAGACAAGACTACACAAGAGTATGTCTCAGATGATATAAACTACATTACAAGCAATGACGAACGATGATGGAATACCTTCCATCATACATTCTACATCTGAGACATACCTACATAGTATATATAGACTAACTAATCAACGGACAATGAAGCAAGCCGTGAGAGAGCAAGCCGAGTCCACTATCCCCCCTCTTTGTGTGATCCCTCTAAGCCTCTCACATAACCTCTTTTCCCCCTTTCTTAACATTTCTACACATGTATTTCTAGACAGTTCAACTGTACAATTATTCAACCTAACAAATCCAGGCAGTCAAGTGACAATAAAGCTGCATCATGCACTGTTAGTTTTATCATTGCTTTGGTAGCAGTAAATAGTAACCAGTAAGTATCTTCTACAGAAATAACCTAATCTCTGTGGAGCAGGAAGATTGCAACAGATGGAGGCTTGTTTAATTAATGCTGCTTTGCTTGGATTCAGTATCATTTATCCTATTTATGTTTGATATTTGATTAGACTGCCTCTTCTAGCATCCTAAATCAAAAGAAGGCTAGAAATACTCCACTTACAAATAGTGCTAACTCCACACAGACCTTACTTCTGCTATAATAATCAGATCGGATACCTTCTTGCTCGAATATATATATGTACAGGATACCAAATGCATAAGGCATATACCAGTCGTGCCCCTAATGCTTGCCTTAGCACATAATCCTTCATCTGATTTTCCCCTGAGCATTCAGCATGCACAACTATCAAATGTAAGCCTCTATTATTCTGATGTTGTATTTCTGCTGCTAAATTAATTATTTGTTATTGTGACCAGTATATGAATGGTAAGAAAATATTAGCAGCTAAACATTTGCAATACACATCTGAAATTCTCTATCAATACTGCAAGTTGCAAGTTTTACAATACTTGTGAGTTGGATGCCTAGTCTTATTATAGCTTAAAATACACATATTGTCTCACATACAGGTATATAACTACTTTCTCTTATCAAAGCACAAAACATTGCTTTTCTGGCCACTATCTTTCAAGTCACCAGTCAAATTCCTGTTCATATGGGCTTGGTACATGCCATTCTTTGATATGGGTATTTGTATATGGCGTCAGTGTATTAACTCAAGTACTATATGAGATTTGCTAATATAAATTGTAGAATATTGTAAGAATTATAAAACTCTTACAGAATGCAGCTTTGCACTGAAAGGAGATGGATGTAAGAAAAGTATAAGAATCTCCACAATTAGGTTATACTGATTTACTTGGACTTCATAGGGGCCACTATGGCAGGATTCATTGCTGTAGAGGGTATATTACAAAGAGTACTTTGATTTATTAAATGTTCTGATTTTGTTTTAGTTATCCTCTGCATCCGAACATGGGTAGTCTGGAATAAGTCTCGAGTGATTGCAGTTGGCCTTTCAGCATGGATTGTCTCCGGTATGACTGCCGCTTTGACTGTTATGGGTCTTCAGCTGGACAAAATCACGGGTAAGAATATAATTTCGTATTATAATTGTTTATGTAAGTGATAAACTTGTTTTAACCAGTTATTCCTTCACAATCTATTCCTGACAGTTGCTTGTATAGTGACCTTAGCAAGTTATTTGCTTTAGAATGGATCATACTTATAGTCTTTGAAGTTGGTATTTTATTATCCTTCACCAATACAATCTTTTGCATTTACACTCAATCAATATATTCTAGGGTTGCTATTACTGATTATAATAAAAGCCATCCAAAACTGTAAGTATCTAGCTTTTAGTTTGGATACCCTTCTATTTTATGGTAATAATTAATGACCTGTTTTATGTGGATAAAGATGATCTTAGGGGATACTCTCGAGTCTACAGAATTTAACAGAATAGTTTACCAGGACAGTTAGTATCCTCAATCTTACAGATCAGTCAATAGTGCAAGGAAAAATCTCATTATTTAATAGGTTCTATTTATTATTTGTATTTACTTGGTTTGAGATCAACCAACTTTTCGAGTAAAGAAATGTTCTGATACACTTATCATGTGCAGTGCTCTCAGTTACAAATATTTCCTTAATTCTAACATTGCCTGTGAGTATTCCAGAGTTGCCATCGGATGAACTGGTCTGAATATCTGTTTCAATATGTTTCACAGAAGGACATCAATCTACTATTTACAAAGTAGTATATAGTTCCATATTTTGTCAAGAAGTTTCATCTAATACTTTCCTTACTAGCTTCGAGCGCGTCTTACACTCAATTCTGGCTACAAGGGTGATAATAGCGCTTTGTAACATTGGTACACACTCTTTTGAGGGCGAGAGTGAAATAGAAAGTATGGAAGAAAGCATTTCGTTTTGCTGCTAGGACGGGCGCGTACTAGTAGGATCAACATCTAGTACTATACTCAGATTTTACTGCATGGCTTGAGTAACAAAACTCAGGAATGCAGGTCTTTGGCTTATTTGATTGTGTCTTTTAAATTATTAAAATTTTGCGGCAGAACAATTCATCTTCGGTCAGCGTCTTATTCTCGGTGTAACGGGCGTGAAATGAGATATCGATGAGGTTAGTTTCTTGCCGGACGGAAATCGAAGAAAGAACTTTGTTTCTTTCTCATTACGCCACTAGGCGCTAACTTTCACGGAAGAGTTAAACATGGGACGATCTACAATAGGTAACTTCTGGTGCGATCTGCGTATGTGCAATGGGCAGTTTTGATTGACTGTTAGCAGTAGTTCTTCTTGATAGCCAGGAACTGTCAGCGGATAGAGCTTAATCACAGCGTCTGTGCAAGCCAGTGATTCAGCTCGACTGAGATTGAGACACGATAAAAGTCATACTGGAACGTGTCTCACTTTAGGAGTGCGACTTCATTTTTTCTGTGTATTTCTAGACTGTTTAGATGTCAGAAACAGTAAAATCGACTCCCTACATCGCTTCCTTAATAGTGACCACTCAGACATCCGAGATCGTTACATTGCGTCGAGCAGATTGAGAGGTGGTAAAAGGCCAATTCTGGGCAAGAAATCATAAACTTTTCGGCTCGTGCTGCTTACCTAATTGGATTTTAACCTTCTGTTCGCGAGGCAGCCGCAACACGTTCCTCGTCGTCTCACCGCTCCTTGGCCAGAACAGCGACGAACGCCCTCCTGCGATACCCCTTCACCTGTGCAACACAGCCCGTCGCAGGCACAGGTAGGTTGATCTGTCTATTTTGATAGTTGATCATCATCCGTGGGTTTTCGTTGACTCGTTTGACTGCATTTGTTTGCTATGCAGTTAGCCGACGGCGTGCCACACAACCGTGACATTTCCTCCTAACGTCTACTTGCGTTCTCTTGACGTACAGCTCAGGAAATGCCGGCGTTCTTCTCCAGGGTCTTTTCGAGAGGAAAGGACAAGGAGAAAGAGAAGGGCAAAGATGGTCTGAAGGAGCCATCGGAGCCAACGTCGAAGCAGGGCAAACGAACCTCACGAGCCTCTGCTCATTCTCTGCTTGAGGGCAAGTTCGAGGCCGTATCTCCCTCTGTATCACCTACCGTTGAAAGGTACGAGGAGAAAGAGCAGCTGCCAAAGAAAGACAAGGAGAAGGAGAGGATTGGCCTGTTCCGCCCCAAGTCGCGCACTACGTCCGGAAATGACGCCTCGAAGAAGCAGGAAGAAGTGCCCCGACTAACTCTGGATCTAAATCTCGCAAGCACAAAGAATGACTCGCAGAAGCGGGACTTGAGCATCGTGTACGAAGGAGGTCCGATCCTCGATGACGCAGTTATCGGAGAGAAGCGACTGAGTCCGGCAGAGGCCCTCAAGCTGATGCGTGCATGCATTGCTGTTCTAACCAGTCGTGGTATGTATTGATGATCTATTCATCCTTTTATCTAATTCATATCTATGTGCTCTAGGCCTTGAGACTTTGGGTGTCATGCACCCGCATTGGCACTCTGCGTCACCTGCTACCCAGCGCAGAATTATTTCACTCTTTCTTTCTTCTCTAGCACCTTCGGACACTACGACGCCTGCAAGTCCTTCTTCAAGCTTCGACTCTGAACTTGAATATGTTCGATCTCCACATGATGTTGCTGCCGTCTTCCGCTGGGCATTGCGACACGTCAAACTTGAGGGTGACACGTTTGACAAGGATAACACTCCATCTCTTGCGTGGTATAATACTTTCACGGAAAAGGAAAAGAAAGCGGATTACCCTCGGACTGCCTACTCTGACCTTCTGTTGCCCGTCGTAAAGCCATCACACGCAGAATTATTGGGTGCCACTCTAAATCTCATATCCCGCTTGGCAAGTCATTCGGAGGCCAATGGCACGTCAGGTAGCAAGCTGTCTATGTTCTTTGGTCACTATCTCCTTACGGGAAATCGCGTTGAGAACTTAGAGGACTGGGTTGCGTTTTATTCCCTTTGGGAACAGGCCGGACGAGCACTGGAACACATCTTTCTGTCTTCACTTCGGTAAATACTATTCTTTACCTTTGGCAGAAAAAGACAGCTTATAGTTTCTTTAGTGATGAGGAAGCAAAAATTGGAATTCCAAGGCGTCTCTCAGAGCTCGTGGTGAACTATCCGTATGCCAAAGATGCGACAGACAGTCATTTCCCTCGACCACCGCGTTTTGCAACTCGAAGTTATGACGCGATTTACGTTCTCGTCACGACCGAATCTGCGCCAAGTAGACGGCCCAATGAGGAAGTCTATTCGCCTCTTCAGATGGTTGAGAACGCACTGAAGTCAGATGTCTCGGGTCTTTCGGTTGATGCGGAGCTTTCTACCGTCTGGGAAGACGTTAGGAAATTCAGTGGGTTGTTGGAATCTGCCGATGGCAAGAATGCTCCTTTGGAGAAGAGCCTTGGAAGTGTACTATCTGATGATTCTATACGGATACTGTCGCTCAAGTCAAATGGCGTTGACAAAAGCACTCCGACAGTCAACACGTTCACACCAGTACCGGAACACGACGCTTTGTTTGGAACTCCGGTAGCAAATGGCCGGCCGAAGGCTGCTAATGGCTCTAAGTCCGTCTCGAGGCAGACATCCGAGGCAACTGCATCAAGCCCCGTTGTGACGGATTGGAACGCTTTCTCCTCCGCAGGTTTTGGTGAATCAGGTCCTGGACAAAGCCTTGCCGCTACGCTTCTTGATAGCGATCTCGAGAAGACGGATCCTCCGCCGCCACCTCCGCGCCATCTGAGGAAGAGCCGTTCCCCAACACGTGCTGCACGTCCAGAGGCTGTAGAGTTACCTCCGTCGCCTACTGGAGTGCCTATTCGCTTCAAGACTGCAGCTGTTTCGTTGACCAAGATCGACGAATCGTTCATTGACTTTTGGAGTGATGCCTTACTCGATCCTGTCTCGAACACTTGGCCGACATTTATTGTATGCCAGTTGAAGCAGGACGCAGAACGAGTGCTGAACGGCAAGAAGGTCGCGTGGCTTGTCATCGAGCAAAAGTTCGTTCCACCTCCTCCGACAGAGCCACCCTCTCCTGCTCGACGAGCAGGATCCCCGCGTCCGAGTCTGCGCAGTGAGGGCGAGAACCGCCCTGGAATTGTAAGCCGCGTGACCGCGACGTTCTCTTCGAGAAAACGGTTCAACCTCTTTGGGAGCCAGTCTCCGCCTCAGTCAGCGGTTCCTAGTGTCGAGAAGAGGGAGAGTAAGTCGCTTGCAAAGGGAACGAAAGTGAATGAGCTTGGTGAAATTATTCCGGAAGAGAAGGAAGTTAGTGTGACGCCTAAAGCGGAGGAACCAAAGGCATCTGAGGCGAAGGCGGCGACGGAAGGTGAGAAGCCCAAGGACGAAGTGCCTCAAGTACCAGAGAAGGATGCCGACAAATCAGATGCTGTCGTTGCCGGGGCTGCTGCTGTTGCAGTTGGCGCTGGAGCATTGGCGGTTGCAGCTGATGCCCTTTCACCAGAAGGGAAGGAACCTGAAGCTCCTGTTCAGAAAGACGCAATAGAAGAGCTTGCCAAAGATGAGCTCGTCAAGGCACCAGTCTTGGAAGCTGAATCTAAGCCTGAGATAACACCATCACTCGAGAAGACAGCCGTTGAGGAACCTGCTCCACCCGAACCAGAACCCACACAGGTCGAGCCTGTTCAAGTCGCTGAACCTCCTGCGCCTGCTCAAACGGAAGTCGTGCACGATGAATCTGTTCAAGCTGCACAACCTGAAGTTCATGGATCTGGAGCGCCTACCGCAGATGTAGCACCGCCCACTTCAGCACCTACTGAAGAAGTCGCTCCTCCACAGGAAATAGCTAAACCCATCAAGGTCGAGGAGCCGACAACGTCCATAGCGACAGAAGAAACTGTATCTATTCCGAACCATGCCGCAGGCGAGTCTAGGTTTGTCGAGCATTTAGAGGTGACACCCATTGACGACAAGCCAACAGAACTTGAGCCGATTGCGGAACATGCCGTACCTGAACAGCCTGTGAGTGCCGTACATGGTGTGCCAGAAACTATTGTCGAAGAGGATGCGGAGCATGACGCGGATGAGACGGTCGCGCCAGTGGAGAAGGAAGTGCCTGAGGTTTCGGATTCTGCTACGCCTGAGGCAGGGGTGAAGCCCCCGACAGAGGAGCCTTCGGTTCCAGCTCCTGCCGCCGAACAGCCAGAAGTATCTGATGTCAAAGATGTTTCTGTACCGGCAGTTGAAGTCGTCGAAGAGCATGAACCCCAGGTCGCGGAGGAAAGCAAGGAGGCTGTCGCTCCAGCGGTGGAAAAACCAACTACTGAATCTGCGGAGGCTGCACCAATCCCTGTCAATGAGAAAGTGTCCACACCGATCATCGAGGAAGATGCAGGTCCTGTTCCCGAGGACCCTGTTGGTCCTGTGTCGACTGAGCCAGCTCCTTCCGCTCATGCTGAAGAGCCTGCAGTTCCAGTCGTTGAGGAGCACAACGATGCACCAGCTGAGACCGGTAACGCTGAAGACCATGTTGATGAGCATATCCCTGAACCAGCAAAGGAGCACGAAGCACCTGCTTTACTCAAGGAGCCTGCACCGATCACTGCAGATACGAAGACGTCCACACCGATTATTGAGGAAGATGCAGCTCCTGTTCCAGAGCCCAAAGAGCCTGTCGTTCCTGCAGCTACCGAGCCGCTTCTTTCCGCTGAAGTTGAAGAGTCTGCAGCTCCAGTTGTCGAGGAGTCTGACGATACAGCACCTGTGGTCGAGAATGCTGAGAACCATGTTGACGAGCATGTGCATGAATCAGTCAAGGAGTATGAAGCACCTGCAACTGAAGAACCACTCGCAGCACCATCCGAAGAGGCAGCACATGAGGAAGCCTCTGTGCCTGTTCATCCGGCGTCAGACTCTTCACCCTTAGTTGAGACGGAGGAAGTCGACAAACCGACTGTTTCTGTTTCTGAGAACTCAGAAGCAAAGCTACCGGAATCTGTTCAACCAGAAATTAAGCAGCCCATCGAAGCGAAGTCTGACGTACCTCATTCAAATATTCCTACGGCAAGCAAATCTTCTGAAGAGAAGGTTGAGGAATCGAACGGGAAGCTGGTAGAGAAGTCGCCGGAGGTTGCTTCGTCATAAGATACGCAGACAGTAAGGACTTACTTCGTGAGTAGGAGTCGTGATACTTCGGAGTGTGCGATGCCAGTGCTGACTTCTGTCATCTCAGACTTCATGAATTCATAAGGTCCTAGCTACGGAGGCCGTATCGAATATGCAACTTCTCAGTTGATCCATCGATTTGGGCACGAGCTGTTCATCCATGGGATATCGGTTACCAGCTTTTGATTTTGCGTACCCTTTAGTATTGATCCTTATCACGATCGCCGACGCTCTTTACTTAAGTATCTGCCGGTACTGATCCAACCTTCCTTACATTGTCTTCCCGTGTTTCCATGCCTCTCTTCGCGGACGCCGCGCCGACTTGTCTGACTGCTCCCATGTTCCTTCTGTCCCATTGTCCAAGGTTGAATGCGTCAGTTCATTATTTTCACCCTTCACTGATTATCATTTGCCATTATTGCTTTGGAACGGATGCACTTCCTGCCATTCAATCACAATACACTCATTGCTTTTGCCATTGCTCTCGCCTCTGCCGCCGCCTTCTCCATCACTTCTACGCCTGCTTGTCCGTTATCCACCCAACCTATACCAGACCCATGTTTCCCTTTTCCAATCTTCTCGTCTAGGTTTTATTATATAGTTTCGGTTGTGTCTCGTGCTGACGTGGCATTACTGATCACTGGTCATTACTTTTTTCCTCAAACGACGTGCTGTATGTTGCATTTATCCATTAACTTTTTCCCTACGTTTTTTCTTGGTGATTGATTATATGGACCTTAGTAGTGCTTTCTTTGTTTACGTGTTTTCTTAACCATCGTCTAATAAAGTTTTCTTGGTCGGCCGTCCTACTATCATTGGCCTTTAAGGTATTTTTGCAATTATTCTGGTTCTTGGCATGTTTGAACGAGTTTCTTCGTTTAAGCTCCGTTTCGCAAAAGTCAACAGCGGCAGATCTTTGAACCAGATGCAAGTCTGTTGGTGTCATACCAATTATGAATTGGGCGATGCTTTACCTAGCTTTTCAATGCTGAGGGGCTAACATTTGTATATTCTACACATGATGCTCTACTGTAAATTAATTTGGGTATTATCATTCGTCTTCTACGTCAGCAACCGCTACCTGCTTCGCAGCCTTCCGTCTTCCTTTCCCATTCCGCCACCTCTCATTGACAACATTGACGTGATCAAGTCGTTTGCGGCGTAATAAAGGAATATAGTTCTTGCCCGCGATTCTGCGCACCATCCCACCTCCCAACAGGACGTTCACTATTTTTGAAGAGTTTTCGAAAAAATGAGATTGCAGTGTTGATAGATGTGAAGGTGAAGGTGAAGGCTGTGGTGCTGGATGGAAAGCAGAAGCTGCCTTTAAGAATGTTGCGTCGAGTGCACTGTGGATAAGTGAACGTGTGTGGATAGCGTGTAGTTCTTGGTATAAGTTATTCGCGGCTGCACTATGTTTCTTCTCTGGGCTATCGGTCTGCCACTTGACATCTTTATCATCGTATGCGCATTCCCATAATACGAGTGGTAGAGGGTCAGCCATTTGGTATTCTGGTTTGCATGTGACGAGTTCGGGTGGAGGATCAGATTCAAGGAATGGTGGTTCGGGTCGCTCGGGATCGGCGTTGAGTAAAGAGGTCATGACGCATGGGGGTTCCAGGCCTGCTCCGACGAGGAGAAGGATAGCCATTATATGTCGGACTTGGTTGTATAGGAAGGCGTTCCCAATGAGGTCGAATACGTACATGTGGGATCTATCGCTGGCAAGGTCGTCGTTTGCGAGGACCGAAGCAGGACTGATATCTGCTCGTGAAATGTTCCGCCGGAAGACGGTAAGTTGTTTTGATGGATCGAGTTTACAGAGATTTCGGAAATCGTGGTCTCCGACTAAGCGAGCAGCGGCATCGCGCATAGCATCAATGCTAAGACCTTCCGGACTGAAGAAATATTTATAATGCCGATGTTTGCAATTGAAGCGTGAAGAGAAAGAACTAGAGACGGGTGACCATGCGATAATACGAATACTGGGCGGTAGAATCCGGTTTAGTATAGTTAAGTACCGTAGTTCTTGCCGTCGCTCGACTAGCTCGTGGATTGCTGGGAGGGGTGCGCTTTCGACTTCGGACGCGTCAAGTTGTGGAAGCTCGCTTTCGGGATCAGGAAGAAAATCCGAGTCGGGATTTTCTTGACCGTCTTCGATTCGAATACTAGATGATTCGGTTTGGTTTGAAGGAGGACCAGTCTGCTCGTCGGCTTGTCCGATATTGCTCCTCACCCAAAGCGAGACGACTTGCGCAGCAGAACTAACGCCGACGTCAGTGCGCCCACATCGTTCCCATCCACACGCCTGAGGCCCAGCGGCTCCATCAATCAACTTGCAGGAAGCCAATGCATTATATAACGTGCCCTCTACCGTCGGGAGCCGCGTCTTGTCGTTTTGGATCACAAGCCCATTGTATTCCCATCCAGAATAACAAAATTTAAGTGCAATTTTCCGACGTGGGTAGGCTAACATATCGAATAACTTGGAAGGCCCCGCTTCGGCATTTCGAGGTGCAGCGCTGGATACTTGTGGATCAACCGTTGGATGTGCTTTGTCCAGTTCTCTCAGGCGGGAAATGAGCTCTTCACAAGACCAAGTTTCGTACGTTGGCGAAGTCATCGCAGCTCTGACAAGTCTCCTAGCAGCTTTCGAACCAAATGGGATATGTTGCCTGCTGAATGCTGCAGCAACAGATATGGACGGAAGCATAATCCAGCGACCGAAAAAGTCGGTGCGGTGGAAAATGCATGAAAGTCACGTGCATAAATTTTGTACGAGTCAAGGGTTGTCGATCGAGTCAAATCTTGTTGCCATTATCCCCGTTAGAGTGTTCACTGTTGACATCTGAGGCTGCTGCTTTACTTCTACTTGAAGACTTAGACCACGATTTTTGCTATAAGACGCGCACCGCGTTTCTTGCGATACAATCGCTTTGTACAATATTGTAATCTATCGAATATCCGCAAAATGACAACTATTGTGGGCGATGGCCCGATAGCGCTCCAGCAGGTAAGTAATCCTTCGAACACTCGATATACGCGTCTCATATGAACTCGTAGACAGGGAAGAGAGATGCGCTAAAAGCCATCGAGAAAAGGTGCCAGCAACGCTGGGAGGAGGAGCATGTATTTGAAGTGGACGCGCCAACAGCTGAGCAAATCGCGCAGCTTTCTCCTACTGAGATCAGGCAAAAGTTTCCAAAATGGTTTGGAAACTTTCCCTATCCCTACATGAATGGGTCGCTCCATCTTGGCCATGCTTTCACGATCTCAAAGATCGAGTTTGGTGCTGGGTATCAGCGTTTGCTCGGGAAGCGTGCTCTGTTCCCTCATGGTTTCCATTGTACAGGCATGCCAATCAAGGTCAGAATATTCAGAATGTTCTTACCATTTCCAATTAACCCATAAATGAATTTAATCTTACTCAGGCTGCTTCAGACAAAATTATCCGCGAAATGCAGATGTTTGGCCCTGACTTTGAAGGGTACAAGGAACCTGAAGACGATGGTCCTTCCGCCCCTCCTGCACCAGTTAGCGGCGCGCCTGCATCTTCAGCTCCAGACAAGGCGAAGAAAGGGAAGGTCGTTGCAAAAGCTACTGGACACACGTATCAGTTCCAGATCATGGAATCGATCGGTGTACCTCGTGCAGAAATCAAAAAATTCGCAGATCCTCAATATTGGTTGAAGTATTTCCCTCCCATCGCAGTCGCGGACCAAAAGGCACTTGGTACTCGCATCGACTGGCGACGAGCCTTTATTACCACTGACGCAAATCCATATTACGATGCCTTTGTCCGCTGGCAAATAAATAAGCTGTACCGACAAAATAAAATAAAATTCGGTGAACGATATACAGTGTATTCGCCGAAGGATGGTCAACCGTGTATGGATCATGATCGCTCCGAAGGTGAGGCCTTGGGTCCTCAAGAGTACACCACTATTAAACTGGAGGTGGCGGAATGGTCGGAGGGTGCTAAGAGCTTGCTTGAGTCCAAAGTCGGAGGGCGAAAGGTGTTCCTAGTGGCAGCGACGTTGCGACCAGAGACCATGTACGGCCAGACCAACTGTTTCGTTGGTACGGCTATCAAGTACGGCGTCTTCGCCGGGAAGAACAACGAAGCGTACGTGTGCACGTACCGTGCAGCGCGTAACATGGCTTTCCAGGGCATCACGGAGACGCCAAGCAAGGTGGAACAGCTCGCGGAAGTTGATGGCAGCGCACTCGTTGGTACAAAGGTTAAGGCAGCCTTTTCCGTGAATCCAGAAGTCTATGTACTGCCTATGGAGAATGTTCTGGCAACTAAGGTAAAGCAATTGCGTTCTTTCCTGGAGTGTTACTAACGCGATCGCAGGGTACTGGTGTTGTCACGTCGGTACCATCAGATTCTCCAGATGACTATGCTACGCTTTTCGATCTCAAGAAAAAGCCTGAATATTACAAGATCAAACCAGAGTGGTGTGCCCTTGACCCGATTCCCGTCCTTTCTACACCGACGTACGGTGAACAGACCGCCCCAGCCATCGTGAAGAAGCTCAAAATCAATTCTCAGAAGGATGTCAAGCAGCTTGCGGAAGCGAAAGACATTGCTTATAAGGAGGGCTTCTACAACGGGACTATGCTTGTTGGTGAATTCAAAGGCATGAGCGTACAAGAAGCGAAGCCACGTGTCCGTGAGGCAATGATCAAGGCAGGCCTCGCATTCGCTTACGCGGAGCCCGAAGGGTTCATCCTTTCGCGGAGTGGGGATGAATGTGTGATTGCTCTCATGGATCAATGGTATCTTGATTATGGCGAACCTACTTGGCGAGCACAAGCAGAGAAGTAAGTTTTTCACCTGGGATGAATCGGCTCACTTTCTAAATTCTTCGTCGCGTCTAGGCTCCTTGCGAGGATGAACACATACAGTACAGAAACTCGTAATAACTTCGAAGCGACCCTTGGATGGCTTAATCAATGGGCATGTGCTCGTACTTATGGTCTCGGTACGAAACTTCCATGGGATCCGACTTTTATGGTCGAGTCTCTAAGTGATTCGACAATCTACATGAGCTACTATACAATTGCACATCTCTTGCAAGGTGAGAGATGAGCACAGCGATTTCTTGGTATTTATCTGACGTCTCATCAGGAGGTGTGTGGGATGGCAGTAAACCAGGACCATTGGGTGTTACTCCAGAGCAAATGACCGACGAAGTCTTCGAGTACCTCTTCTGCGACGGACCATGGCCTTCGAATACAACGCTAAGCAAAGAAAAAGCCGATGTGATGAAACACGAATACAACTATTTCTACCCGCAAGATATCCGATCCTCTGGCAAGGATCTTATACCTAATCATTTAACTTTCGCGATTTACATTCATGCTGCGATCTTCCCTGAGGACAAGTGGCCGCTTAGCATGCGCACGAATGGACACTTGATGTTGAATGGGAAGAAGATGTCTAAGAGCACGGGCAACTCGCTTACGCTTCGTGAGTCGGTTGAGAAGTTTGGTGCTGATGCGACTCGGATTGCCCTTGCGGATGCTGGAGACAGCATCGAAGATGCTAACTTTGACGAGAAGAATGCGAACGCCAATATTCTGCGTCTGCATACACTTATAGACTGGTGCGAGGTGAGAACGCTGTCTTTCTCTGGCATGCCTTTCTTACTTATTAGAGAGTTTTTTGTAGGAAATGATGCAGGAGCAAGGCAAGATGCGCAAAGATAGAATATACCACGATACTGTCTTCGAAAATGAGATCAATGAATTGATCGCACAGACCCATGCTCATTACGAGGCGTACGTTATTCCTACTTTAATAGCCATTCATGCATTGTAACGCTTTGATTAGGACGAACTACAAAGACGCCTTGAAATATGGGTTCTTTGAATTGCAGATGGCTCGCGACTGGTACCGCGAGGTGACAACTGACCTCGGAATGAATGCTGACCTCGTCAAATACTGGATTCGCGTATCCTGCTTGCTCATCGCACCTATCGCGCCACACTTCGCTGAGCACATCTGGAGCTCGGTATTGGGCGAACCAGTCACAGTCCAACGTGCCCTTTGGCCATCACCTTCAGGACCAGTTGACCCTGCTATTGTAGAAGCAGGGCAGTACATGCGTGGAACCCTCAAAACGATGCGCGACTCCGAGATATCCATGCTCAAGAAGCTTAGTAAGAGCAAGAGTGCACCGTATGACCCGAAGAAACCCAAGAGTGCGCGGATCTACGTCGCAACTCGCTTCCCGGAGTGGCAGGACCGTGTTGTTGCTATTGTTAAGGAGGCATATGACGCGCAGAAGGACAAAGTTGACGACGTGAAGATCCGCGAGCTGCTTCAGAGTAAGGGCTTGATTAAGGATAAGCGAGCGATGCCTTTTGCTCAGCTCTTCAAGGTTCGCCCTGTCCCAGCCCCACTCTACAAATTCAGCTGACCAGTATACCCTCTTGTAGAAACGAATTGCTCAATTCGGCGCGAAGACAGCATTCCAACGATCCCTTCCCTTCTCCGAGTCGGCAGTGCTCTCGGAACTCTTGCCATATCTCAAGAAATCGCTTAACCTCGTCGATGCAGAGGTGCTTATGGTTGACGATGCCCTTCAGAAAGAAGGACCTGGTTTCTCAAAAACTATCATAGAACAGGCAGAGCCGGGAAGTCCTGCATTCGAGTTCCGTAATGTATAGAGATGGGTCGGTGTACTTTGAATGCATCATTGTTGTGCATCTTCTTTGTAGTGCAGTCTAGAATTTTTGGTGACTTCCTACCTCTTTCATATTGTGCTTTTCAAGTCCTGAGAAGAATGATCACAGCCTGGAATAGTCGTCACCTATCAATGAATGACATTCATGTCTCTCGGAAATACTTGCGGCTAAAAATGAAACCCAAATTAGGCAAGCTACGCGTTTCGTCACAACGCGTCTGTCACGACTTGAACACGAACCATTACCAACGCCTCTTTCTGAAGTCATGCCAGGCCCCAGTAACTCGAAGAAAGCCAAGAAGCGGCAGTCAGAAAAGGGAAAGGCGCGCTCAAAGAGGAGTATCCTGAAGGATGTCGAGCAGAATTTGTTGGATGCTTGCTCTGTCAGGGCCGCCGACGAACGAGCGCGTTCACCCGATCTTCATGCAGCAACGGCTAATGAACCAACTAGTCACTCTAATGCTCTTACTCCAGAAACTGAGATATTAAGAGGTGCTTCACATTCTCACGACCTAACGGATGATCACGCAAGACCCCCGCCTCTTGACAATCCTTTCATCGTTAATCCTGGGAATGGACCTCGCGTCAAGGATACAGAGACATTCCTTTCGTCGTTCTTCTGCCCTCCAGTGTCCCTTTCAGATAGGAATTGCGCACAGTTTGCTCGGGATGAGATATTAACGGTTCTCTATGCAGTCCTGCCGAGAGAACTAGCCCTCGTGAGTAAATTTCAGAGACTGGTATTCGAGTGGATGAAATTCTAAAGGTCGGAGCAATTAGATTGTGTGGTATAACAAAACGAGGGATATTGATCGTATCTGTCCTGCCTGCCAGCGTCTTTATCGAGTAGGGGATTCTCTGGTCGACCCGATCAGTGGCGAACTGGTAGATATGAATAACCCAGAAACACCACCACAATTGTTCAGGGAACAGCTGTTGAGTGGAATGTGTAAGTAAATAGCGATGTATTCGTATTCGTGGATGTATACTTAAGATCTTGACTAGGCTCGTTCCCATGTTTCTTCCTTGCGTCTTATTCCTCACACCCATATACTACGGAGGTCGCACGAGGTGCTTGGGGCCTACTATACGACGAACTGCATGCGCAAACGCGTTCTTTACTTGATGCGACGGATCCAAGCACTGCCGCAATTTTACGATACGGTTTTGCTGCTTTAACACCGTCGATGACTGAAGAGTCGAAGAGTGGTTCAGATGAACGTGGCCTGGGGAGAGCTATGCGGATGACGCGGAAAAAGGACTTAGGCCTTGGAGAAGTATTGGAGGCACTTGCGTGGTACGAAGAGGAGGGACAAAGATCTACAATGGGAGAACAATTGGTAGATCACACGGGACACAGGTGACTCGGCGGTGGACTCTGATGAGCGGATACCAAGGAGCAGTCGTGCCACTTTCTATTCAGGTCTGACATACGCAAGGTCATCCATGGATGGACGGACGATATCCAGTTTCGTCCTACGAGTGATACGTGGAGCACCTTATTCGGTCTGGCCTGCCACAGACGTCTAAACTCTCCAACTTCGCTTGTTTGTTACTCAACACAGAGCGACGCTGTCACACAGAAATGGGAACGCAATCATGGCCGAAGACCCTGCCGACGCTGAGCGATTTTGGCGCATTGTCAGTGATGCAGAGAGGCGCGGGAAAAATACTCGGTTATTTACTTGGCACAGCGAACCCGACCGATGGATTGTCCCTGAACGCGTCTTCCAATGTCATTATCCGAATCAACATCCACTCCTCGTCTAATATTGTCCCAACCATTGTAAGTAGTTTCACTTGTGTTGCGACAATATTCGCAGTGGTTCCTGCCATTATATATTCCCAATTTCGCGGCGGCGAGAGTATGCCAATCCAAAAAACGCCCAATCAACCCCAAAGACAAAAATCAATTATTGATACTCTCAGTCCAGGCTGCTCTAGCTAAGTGGGTGTGACGGACGATGATGAAAATCGGGATCGTCAGTGGCATGCCTCTGATCTAGGAACTGTCCTGGCGTGGGAGAAGTAATCCTACAGAACAAACGAGGTCGTTTGGTGTTGGTCCAATGCCGTTGGTTCCAGCTTGTGGCCAGAGTTGAAGCGCATTTCTCCAGCAGGACAGCTAGGGCAACCGCCCTGACGTCGGGTTCTCGTCCTGAGGTATCCGAGCAAGACTGACGGGAACAGGCACATGAAAGGGGTATACACAGAAGGACGAGCCTCGACCATGCGTCCTACTGGAATAAATGCCATTACTAATACCTGCAAGTGGCACGACAGCAAGCATGAAATCGCGAAGACATTTTATAGGCTGTTGCTGCACGGAATGCGATTTCTCTCACGCTGGCTAATTATGGGGCAAATTTTAGAAGTGCAACACCAAATTTTGTCGCGCAATGACTTGCTATTTCCCTTCAAATCGTCGAGGCGGCCCATTCTCGACAGTGACTTGCCTCCTTATTGAATTTCCTGAGCAATTCTTCAACGTTTGCGAACGGGGCTAATGAAATATTCTATGAATGAAGACATATTGATCAAACTGGGAAGGAGGAGCATGCCAAATTTAGTAGGTCGATGAACCTTATTACCGCCTGTCATTGTCGCCAACGTCCAGACACCTGTTGGGCTGCCTTAACGGTTACTCTCTCTCCAATTTGCTTTCTCTCTCAGAGTCTCGGCTTGGACTTCTCGGTGCACGGCATTGACAAATGGACAACGAAGTTCACTCCAACACGGTGCCAGCATTTGCATTTTTCGGTATAAAATGAGGCTCAACACCACTGCAAGTCCAACACCCCACTTCTCACTTTCTTCCCTTCCTACCCTTCGACTTTCTTATTCATTGCGACCTGGTGTCGTTGCTTAAGCTAAACACTAAGTTCATTCCTTGCCTTATTCCGCCGCGGCATACCATATCTAGCAACATGTTCTCAAGTTCGCTCTCTGCTCTCTGCATTCTTGCCCTTTCCTCGTCTGCACTCGCTGCAACCGCCAGCTTTGGAACATGCTCAACACCTCAGATCAAGTTTGCAGCAGGGCTGGATGGCCGTAAAGAAACATCGTTCCAAGCAGTAGACCAAAGTCAGTTTCTTTTTTTTAAATCCTGATACAACTGTATCCTGACTAAGCTTCCCCTCTTCCCAGAATCCTACAACCATGGATCTACAGACGACATTGATACCACCGCAAACTTCATCTGCCAGCAGGTTCAGACTAGCTGCAAGGGCAATAGCGCTGCAGTATCTCAATGCAAGTCCGCTGTTACCGCCGCGGATAAGGCCGCGAAGGGTACTGGTGCCCAAGCCGACGCATTCAATGCGGCATTCGGCCAAAAGACGAACTTTGCCAACGTCGCTGTTGTTAACTCGAACGGTCAGACTGTCAGCTCTGGTTCCAACTCCGGTTCCAACTCGGGAACGAACACGCAAGACCCTCAATCTGCAACGAGTACGTCTAAGTGTCCACTCACTCCAGAACAAATTCTAATGTATGCGCCCTTTGTCTAGCCCTCGACCCAGCTGTGATTGCAACAGGCTTCGCATTGGACGGCCAACAGGTTCCCGCAGCTGGCCAGGTCGCCTCATTGACCTCGAAGAACAACTTTATCAACTTCTGCTTGACTGTCAACAAGCCCATCACAAATGGTCAGCAGATCAAGACTGGTTCATGTAACCCTGCGCCGATGGGTGTCATTGCCGCGACCACGAACATGCCGTCTTCGAAATTCCAATTCCCGAAGAACGGTGACACGATCAAGGCGAACCAAGAATTCACGATCCAGATGGCGATTAACAACCTTGCCGCTGGTAACTTCGTCAATGCTGCTTCCAACTACTACTCCGCCCCGCAGCAGGTCGACTCGTCTGGAAACATTATTGGTCACTCTCACGTTGTCATTGAGCAGTTGAGCAGCCTTGACCAGACGTCCACCACTGACCCGAACAAGTTCGCGTTCTTCAAGGGCATCAACGGTGCTGCAGTCAACGGTGTCCTCACTGCCGACGTCACCTCCGGTCTCCCTGCCGGTACTTACCGTATGTCATCGATCAACGCTGCTGCGAACCATCAGCCTGTTCTCGTCGCCGTCGCCCAGCACGGCTCGCTCGATGACATGGTCTACTTCACTGTCACAAACTAAGCCGAAGGGTGAAGGTGTTTTAAAGTAGTTATTCGTTGCTTTCCTGGGAAACTTAGTGTTAAGCGGGCTTTTTTTAATTTCTTTCTTCAATGGGCTTGTCATTCGTTTGATACCACACCTTTCACTCGCAACGTCGCCTCGATGGCGAGCCGTGTGAGTTTGTATTTTTCACCTAGCTCGTGTAATTCTTGCATTTGTTGTATGTGCCAATAGAGTCTACTCATGTCTCTAACTGAATTCCCGGTCATAAACTCAAGCTGTGTCAAGTTGTAAGCAATGATACTGATATATGCATGTTAGAGATGCACTGCACCGGACTCACAGCGAGTGAAAATTCAGTTAAAAAAACATGTCCGAGTTGGCCGATGGACAGCCTGACTGACGGACAAACGCAGTTCATTCATTGCCATGGTACTTTGACATTGGCGTGCGCTGTCTTCATATCGGCGCATCTTTTTTTGTGTATTATCTAGAGGTGCGTGTGGGATTGAGGTGTGCATACACTGATAGCAATGCTGATGCGTTAATGCGATTTGTTGCAATCATGTATTCATGTTCAATGATGCTGCTTTCTGTCTGATGCTGAGTCACCATGGACACGGGATTAGCCGGTCATATTAAAAGCACTCGCCAAGACTTTGTTTCCTTAGCCTCTTTCCTCTCTTTTCAGTGAATTTTCAAACACCCGATCGCAAGTTGTGGTACTCGAGACAATGAATTGCTGTGAATTAGCATAGGCTGGGCGAGATCCTCATCTCCCATCCTGCTTGTGTTCTCAAACTGTGGCTTTTAATGACATCCTTGGCTTCGCACGATCTGAGAAAAGACTTTCTGCTACTTGAGCGCATCACCTTTTTATCGTCACTCGGCGCTGCGCGCGCACTGTACTTCTTGCTATGTATACTTCTAGCGATGCCATGAGAATCCGTACACTTGGAACACGCATTTTGATGAACCGACACCAATGGTATAAAGAGTCCATTCTCAACGCTTGGTATCTGCAGCGGAATAGATTTCCTGCAGTCTTAACTCGCTTTCGTTCTTCTGTAGCCTGGTGCTATCATTTTTCTTTCGGCTTATCACCCTTCGTAATATCTACCACACCCAATCCCTTCCCACTTTGCTACGTTCGCGAGATTTCTTATATTCTTAACAATGCTCTCGAGATCCTTGGTCGCACTTGGTGTGCTCGCACTCGCGTCTTCTGTCGTTGCCGCGCCTGCAGCGTCAAGTACAAGCGCTGCTTCGAGTGCTTCTTCGAGTGTTGCTTCAAGTGTTGCCTCGGCAAGCTCAGCAGCGACTTCGTCCGCAAATGCGACTGCCCCGCCCTCTTCAGCCACGTCAGCAACTGCCACTTCTGGATCTGTAGATGACGAGCAGTCTGCTACTAGTAAGCTGATTTGAATTCCTCACTCTTCGAGAGCACGACTGATGCGTAGTGTTTTAGCTCTCAATCCTGCCGTGATTGCAACTGGCTTTGCCGAGGACGGCCAACAGGTTCCTACAGCGGGCCAGGTCGCATCCCTGACATCGAAGAACAACTTCATCAACTTCTGCTTGACCGTCAACAAGCCCATCACGAATGGCGAGCAGATCAAGACTGGCTCGTGCAACCCAGCGCCAATGGGTGTCATCGCTGCGACAACCAACATGCCATCTTCAAAGTTCCAGTTCCCCAAGAATGGCGATACAATCAAGGCGGACCAGACATTCACAGTGCAGATGGCAGTCAGCAACCTCGAAACAGGCAACCTCGTTAACGAGAACACTAACTTTTATGCCGCGCCGCAGCAAGTTAATGCTCAAGGCAACATCATTGGACATTCAAGGATTGCCATTGAGCAGCTCGACAGTCTCAACCAAACAACTCCGACCGATCCGAACAAATTCGCGTTCTTCAAAGGCATCTCCGCACCAGCAGTTAATGGAGTGCTATCAGCAGACATTACGGAAGGTCTTCCTGCTGGCTTCTACAGGTTGGCCTCCGTCAATTCTGCAGCAAATCTGCAGCCAGTCCTTGTCGCTGTCGCTCAACACGGTTCTCTTGATGACATGGTTTACTTCACGGTCGCGTGAACAGAGATATCGTATCTCATAGCACTGCTTGCTTCATGTTCTTTGCAGGGTAAGTTCATTTCCTTTGGTAATCTTTATTTTGTTGCTGAATATCGCACCCCCGTCCATGTTACTATGTTAGTAGTGCGCTTTTGTATGTGGCTGTAATTTCGTTTGGTTATGGGAATATGTTGGACTTTGACGCATATCATCAAATATTTTGGGTATTTTGCACTATAGCTTCCTGGCGTTGTAATAGGATAAGGAACATTAATGCATGAAGACTAGTAACTTCTCCGATAAGAAAGCAGTCATGACCAATTACCTATTGAGACAACACTTCTAATATGCAGCTTCTTTTACTTGATAAATCAGACGAGACGATGACGGATATCACGGAAATACACGGGGCATATCGGCACTTTGTCAACTGCGATGCAGTCTCCAATGCCGGGTCTATCTGTAAATTTGGAAGGTGATCGTTGACAACTGAGATTATCAGACACTTGTGCTTTTCCTTCAACGTGCAAGGTATTTTACCAGGAGTTGAAACAGCTACAGGCATGTGTCTTTAATTATAATTAGTCGTGAGAAGCTGAGTGCTGCAAACAGCCATGTGTCTTGAACTTTACTCAGAGAATCAGTTTGAGAGACAACAATTTTTTTTCAGCAATTTTATAGTTGTCAGAATCAAACATACTATAATACTCCTGTAATGTAATACTCTAGATGTTCCTACCTACAGGAATTTTGAAACCTATTCTAAATATACATTGTAACAATCTTGCCTAACAGTAATTTCAAACTCAAGCTACTTTTACCTGCACATCTACAATGTTGTGCCTCTACACACACATTTCTAGTGTCCAGGCATGTTCTGTTCCATTGTATTTTCAATCCAGCAATGTACTGCACCTCAGCTCAGATTCTAAGTATAGGCTTGTGTATGAGTTTGAACTGTAGTTGTGTTTTGTCTGTAGTATAGGATTAGAATATTCTAGTCAACTATACTACATAAAAGATCCTGAAGTGGGAGTTATCATGTACTAGCACCTTTGATAGCAAACCAGATATCTGACCATAGATATATTCACACTTACCTTACTTGCTATACTGCTGTGGATGGCAGCCCAAGTTTAATGTCATTACTTGTCTCTGAAATCAGTATTGTAAAATATTTCAACATGACAATGCTGGCTGTCTTGGTCTACAATGCTTGTAAGTACTTATATTTATTCATCTGTTTCCTGCTTGCTGATAGGTATGATATTTAAGTCATAATTATGGACAAGGAAGTAAGGTGTTGTACTTGTGTATTTTAAGCACTTATTAACTCTTGCATTGTTAGGTAAAATATTTCTGGGTAGGTTAATACTCATCTCCAAATACACATGATTCAATAATAGTAATAAAGCAAACACTGTACAAACTTATAAATCTGATTCATTTTGTAGTGAGTACTACTGAAACATTTTCTTTAACTATTGATTGTAACCTTGAATCATAAGAACTACTATGTTGGACTTATTAGAGTTATTTGTTTTATAGCCTGTAAGTAATTTTTATAAGATACAGTAGTATATACAGTCCTATTAATGTAAGTATTCTATTTTAGTAGAAGGCTTTAGTATGAACATTTTAAGGTAAGAGCCAGATAGTATTGTTAGAGTTAGTATATACTAACATTGTATACATTAACATACTGTCTACAGCTGTGTGTTGTATATTCAGAATATATATACAGATTATCAACTTAATATTTAGACTGATTGACTGTTTGGACAGGTAGTATATATAGTAAGTAGTTTTATATAAAGAGATGACACAACTATTTAATCCAGACATTAGACATAATTACTGTTATACTAATAGATTGTAAGTAAATACTATTATTGTTTAAAAGTCTACTATATATATGTAATAATTTCTTAGATATTCTCTAAATCTGTGTATTATTATTTTACTATTAGACTATGTATTCTGTAGTTTGAGAAAGGATTCACTCTCACTTCTTGACAGACTAGAAGCTTTTGATTTGTCTTAAAATTCTCCTTACTATAGAGGGGTATATTAATCTTAGTATTCTTATATATGTATAAAGAGTTACATGTGAATAGTAAAGCCTTTTAATTCATACTCTAGTTTGGAATAAAAGGCTAAAAACTAGTATAAATCAGTTACAGTCAAGCATCTTACACAAGGTATTGTTCTTTGTGAATCTAAAAATTAACTCTTACAAACTGTATATATTATCTTATAGTAAGTACAGCTTGTATTGAAATTTACTCTAGCTCATTTATAGCAGGTCAATCTCTCTTACATATAGAATAGTCTTACTCTTTCTAGTAATTTTCAAGAATGTAGAGTTTACAAGAATGTTATCTAAATTCAAAGGGTTCTACCTTCTCAGAGTTCTTATTAAATATTAACTCCTGTATTATATTTTATAAGTAGGAATGTTATACTGAATTGACAGAAGAATTATGTTAGAATTCTAAGCTGTTCCTAGAGTCACCTTACTTTATTTCCTTACTTTAGACTATTTATTATTCTTTGACTTTCTTTATCCTTAATATCTTATCTTCTAATCTACTGAGTCTTAGGACCCAGGCTTGGATATTAGTTCTGTACAAGTCTTACACACCTTACAGGTCCTTTACTAAACTAATACAGCTAGCTATTCTTCTATTTGTCTAATTAGGTAAGAACTGCCTCTTTAGTTACAACTAGCTAGTATAGTGTCCCTTAAGTCTACACAAACTACTGACTCAGTATTACTCATTCTTTTTGTTCCCCTTTTCCCCCTTTGTTCACTTATTGTCTTATACTCCTATTATTCTCTCCCTTTTACTTCTTAGCTCTCCTAATGTTCTTTTTACTATAAATAATTATCTTCTCTCTTTATAGTTTCTTAGCTTTTTGACTCTTCTCATTCCCTCCTTGTTTCCTTGTGTAAATCCTGTCTCTAGTAGCTTAGGGAATATAGTTAGTTTAAGGACTGTAGATTACATTTACAGTTTAAGTGTACTATCAACCTAGAGACACATTCCTCTAACAAATCAATTCTAATTATTTACTCAGTATAATACTTTATTGTGTAACACAAATAGTACACATAGAAGTTAGAAATATGAGACCCTTAGCTTCATCTATTCTGTCTACAGTTGGAAGTCTAGTAGTCCTGTATATAATAGAAAGCTACCTTCTAATCAACCTAAAGAAAGTAAGAGAGATAAGGGTAAATAAAAGAGTAAGTTTCAGATATAGTAGTGTGAGTAACTATAACATTGAATTTACCAAACATGTGTCAACTTGCTCTTCTCTACTGTCAACTCAGTTAATATATTATTATAGGTACTCCTTATACAGTTCTAAGTAACAAATACATGTTTAGACTTTAAGAATGTGAGTCTATTGTCCTCTCTGAGTTATAGCCAAGAATGGCCCTTTCTTGTCCTACTTTCCCCTCTTCTATATTATAACCCTATTGTGTCTACTAGATACCTTTTACTTCTTATTCCACAATCTTGTTATTATATAGACATTACTATTATACTCTAGTATCTTGTCATTTAGTATTCTTTGTACTGTTTCAAGTTCAGACATTGACTTAATTGGCAGGCAAAGGGATAGCTCATAATACAATGAGTTGAATAATGTCTACAATCATTGTGATTCTGAGTGAACAAGCCACAGCATTGGTGAACTCAGCAGACAACAGACTTGCCTGTTAATATAATGAGCAGCATTTGCTAAGGGCCACTACTATTGACTGGGAGTCTCTGACTGCACAGCAATATGAAATCATCATGTGTGTGAAGATACGGATACTGAGGCGATGATTCTGGATACCGGGTGTTAAATGTTGAAAAAGCGCGTTGCAGGCGCTGATTTCAAGTTGGCCTTTGACGCGGTGTGCGAATATTTTCTGTAATTTAGCTCGTGATCGTGGCGCATTATCACGTGCTAAGATCTGCTTGAAACGCCATGAACAACGAATTCTGCCACCTACAAATCATCTAGAGAGCTATGCGAGAACGTCCACTTGATAATCAAGATGATGTATTATTATGATTCGTTGGAATCCTGTTGCTCTCTGTCCGACACTGAGTCAACGTTGACACAGGATTAGCAGGTCATTAAAAAAACCTTGCCAAGAAATTTTTATTCGTAGCTTCTTTCTCTCTTTTTGTAAACACCTAATCGCGACATGTACTCAACATGCTGGATAGCTATGAACGTGCGTTAACTGTGCAGGATATACGTCGTGTATTCTTTCTATGTTCTCAAACTATGACTTTTACAGATACCTGTGACTTCACACGGCCTGAGAAAATAATAGTACTGTGTTCAACTTGAGCGCATCGCAGCCTTGTCTCATCATGCGGCGGCGGCGGCGCTATGTCAATCTCTGGCGACGCCATGTGAATCCGTAATCTTGGAACAAGCACCTTGAAGGGGCGACACCAGTGGTATAAAGAGTCCATCCTCAACGTCTGGTATCTGCAGCGAAATAGATTTCCTGCAGCCTTAACTCGTTTTCGATCTTCTATAGCCTAGCATTAGCATCCTGCTTTCGGCTCAATCCTTTTGTAATACCCACCATTATCCAATCCCTTCTCTCTCTGCTACGTTTGCGAGATTTCTCATTTTTGTAACGATGTTCTCGAGGCCCTTGGCTGTACTCAGTGCACTCGCACTTGTGTCTTCTGTCGTTGCCGCCCCTGCTGCGTCCAGTACCAGTGGGAGTGACGAACAGTCTGCTACTAGTAAGCTGATATGAATATCCTACCCTTCAAGGACATGACTGATGCATGCTGCTTAAGCTCTCAATCCTGCCGTGATTGCAACAGGTTTCGCAGAGGATGGTCAACAGGTCCCCACAGAGGGCCAGGTCCCATCTTTGACGTCGAAGAACAATTTTATTAACTTCTGCTTAACCGTCAACAAGCCTATCACAAATGGCGAGCAGATCAAGACTGGCTCGTGCAATCCGGCACCAATGGGTGTCATCGCTGCGACAACCAACATGCCATCTGCGAAGTTCCAGTTCCCCAAGAACGGTGATACAATCAAAGCAAACCAACTGTTCACGGTGCGGCTAGCGGTCAGCAACCTCGAAACGGGCAACATCGCCAATGCGCAACGTAACTTTTATGCCGCGCCGCAGCAAGTTAATGCTCAAGGCAACATCATTGGACATTCAAGAATCACGATTGAGCCACTCGACAGCCTCAACCAAACGATTCCAACCGATCCGAACAGATTTGCATTCTTCAGAAGTATCACTGCGCCAGCAGTTAATGGAGTGTTATCGGCAGACATTACGGATGGTCTTCCCGCTGGTTTCTACAGATTGGCATCCATCAACTCTGCCACAAACTTACAGCCAGTCCTTGTCGCTGTCGCTCAACATGGCTCTCTCGATGACATGGTTTACTTCACTGTCGAGTGAACAAAGAGAATTTGTATCTAATAACGGTGCTTGCTTCATGTACTTTGCAGGGTGAGTTCATGGCTTTTGTTACTCTCTCAGTTGTTACTGAATATCGTTCCCTTGTCCATGTTACTATAATAGTAGCGCGCTATGATGTTGTGGTTGCGGTTCCGTTTGGCTATAAGAATGACTTATTTGATGGTGCATGCTATTAAATAGTTTGGGTATTTTGGACCACAGCCTCCTAGCGTTATAATAGAGAAGTTTATTACGTCTCCGATAAGAAGGTATTCATGACCATTTATCCATATGGGCACACAACTCCCTTCGCTGAGCAAAGCTGACCGGAATAATGATCAATGCAGAGAACAACTCGATATTTTTATACATCAAGATGCAGCTGCTAATGCTGTGTCGATTTGGAAACTCGAAAGACAGTCGTTGAGAACTTAAATTATCAGGTATTTGTGGTATCTCTTGACGAGTGACAAAGCTTACATGGTTCTTTAATATTCATTAGTCAGGAGATAAGCTGCAATTGTGAACGATCATGCCGCCTTGAATCTCGTCGAGAGAATCGTTTTGAGCAACACGCTCACTTCTTAATCTTTCCCTAATCCGCCTTCGATACAAGTCTTTTGAAGAGCCTCAATAGCATTTGGCAAAAAATCCATATAGATTACATGCATTAGAAGAACGAGTGCAAGTCAGAATGCTTGAGACAACAAATTGCAGAAGGAACCCTAAAACTGACTCCATGTACAACTTCATACAATTTTAGCTACACAGCTGCACTTATAGTACATACCCTACCTCGATAATATTGCTGTTGGCTTAACACAGGCCTGCTGAGACGGGACTGGCGGTATGTTGCCATCAATCAGTAGACATGCAGGTTCTGACACTTTGACAAATGATTTGGTCTAAGAATATGCCAAATGCTTCCATCAGAAAAGATTTGGCCGAACTAACGCTTAGTTCTTGGTCAAGAAGAGGTGGTTGCCTTGTTAAAAGCACAGATTAATACAAAGAAAATATTTCAGCTGTCAGCCGCAGAGTAACAATAGAAAGAAAGTCCACGAGAGGATGACAGCAAGTGATGTTGGATTGGATATGCAATCAATCAATGGACAGAAATGTATGGAGGACCGAGCATTGCCATGATCTTGATAGGGAGAAGGACCTTTGGATGCTTTGATGGCACTCGAAGCTGATTCATCTGTAACAACTGTCAAAAATGGTGAGTCATTCCCATGACTTCTAATTCACATCTTGAACAAAGTAAAATCCTAGAATAGATCACTGTAGGAACTGGTACCACATAAAAGGACCAGGAGGTACATTGCCATACACACGCACTCTCAATGATGTACCACACATTGGATGACGCACATGTTTACAGTTTCCACGCTCGCTCTGCTACTGTCGACATCGATCCAAGTTTGGTGCCATCATTTGTCTCTGAGGTCAACACTGTAAAGTACATCAATGTGGCAATGGTGACCGTCTTGGCTTATAATGCTCGTGCGTACTGCACTTTATTTATACCAATATGCTGCTGATAGATATGATAATTAAGTCATTAACTTCATCACGAAAAAGTCGCAAC